ATATCGGCCCATTGGTGGGCATTTTCCACCTGGCCGTTGTCATCAGGGATGGAATCTTGGATAATCAGACGGATGATGAATTTAGGCAAGTTTACAAACCAAAGGCAGAAGGTTTCATCAACCTGGACAAAGTTACAAGGAGTCTGAATGTTTCGTCCTTGGAGCACTTCGTGGCGTTTTCTTCCGTTTCCTGTGGAAGAGGAAATGCCGGTCAGACCAATTACGGTCTGGCGAATTCTGTGCTCGAAAGAATTTGCGAGCAACGGAAAGCTGATGGTTTCCCAGGTTGGTCTTTTATTCCTAAATAATATTTGCCTTTTCCTGTAAAATACCAGTAGTTCCCGATCCAGCGTGTCAATTCAGTCATCTGAAAATATTTTTCTGTAAAAGTCACGTAAATAATTCCTGGTTTGATATTTGGTCTGCCGGAGCTTGTTTTATGATTAGTGTAGTAGGAATATTCATGCTGACCCAGATTTTTTATTTTTGTTGAGCAAGACTTGGGACATTTCCTTAGGAAAATCATGATTTATTATTATTATTATTAAAAAGGTTTGGCGATTCAATGGGGAGCGATTGGTGATGTTGGTGTGGTTTTGGATCTACTTGGTGACAATGAGACGATCGTTGGAGGAACTGTTCCTCAAAGGATTCTGTCATGTTTGCAAGCTTTAGAAAGTCTGCTGTGCTGGTAAGCAATGTCAACAAAATTTCCCCAAACTTATAGAAGTAATTTTGTTGAAAGTATTGTTGCGTAATGGGTTTCCTTTAAAATCTCGCGACTTTGATGTTCCTCAAAGGATTCCGTCGTGTTTGCAAGTTTTAGAAAGTCTGCTTTGCTGGTAAGCAGTGTCAACAATATTTCCCCAAACTTATAGAAGTAATTTTGTTGATGAAAGTATTGTTGCGTAATGGGTTTCCTTTAAAATCTCGCGACTTTGAGTATTATGAACAATCAAATAAGAGGAAATTGTCTTCCGAATTTTGATACTTGATCATATAAGTTATAAGGTGAAATTTATCTTGAGAATAATTATCCATTATCCCTATGATGATTTCTCTTAAGAATAATTATCCATTATCCGGATGATGATTTTCCCTGATATGTCCATTGTGATAAAAACTTGTTTTTCTCTGGGATGATATCTTTGGCAATCACACTTGAATTTGTTTTAAAAC